GCCCTCTAAACCCTAAACCCTAAACCCTCAACCCTCAACCCTAAACCCTGAGCCCTGAACTCCTAACACCCCCTGTTCCTATCTCTCCGGGGTTCTGGGGCTTCTCTCTCTCGGTCTGACTGTGCCCCGTACGGATGGGAGAATCTTCCATCACGCGTCTCACGATGATCCTGCGCCCGATGCCCCGGGAACTTGCAAACCTAGCAGAATGCTTTTAGGGTTTAGGGTTTAGAGTTTAGAACCCCCCTCCCTTCCGCCCCCCAAAACCTCAAGTGTCCCATATGCCCCATTCCCCTACCCCGCGTCACTTATCCTGGGGTCGCCCGAAGCTCATGAATCTTCAGTCCGCCCTTTCACCGTTGGCCCCTCATGGTGTGGGTGCGCGTGCGCGAGTGGTGCGAGATGAAGCTGTTTTGGAGGGGCGTCGGCTCGGTTCGGGGTTCCGGGTTCGGTGCTTCGGGTGTTCGGCTGCTTTACGGTCTAGGGTTCAGGGTTAGGGTGTATGAACTGGGTTCGGGGCTCGACTCCTGCGGGCTTTACTTGCCAGCCCTAAACTTTAAACGCCTAAGCCTTGAATCCCAAACTTGAAGCCCTAAACCCCAAACCCTTAGCCCTCTTCCCTAAACCCTAACAACCCTTCGGCTAAGATGGGTTTGGGCAGGTGGATGCCACTGAAAAAGAGACGGATCTCTTCCGCTTCTTCCAGACCGAGGATGGAAGAACCCCAAACTCGGAGAGTCAGCGGCCCTAAACGCTAAGCCCTAAGCCCTCAACCCTAAACCCTAAGCCCCAAACCCTAAGCCCTAAACCCGAAACCTGAAACCCCGAACTTAGGGGGAGCTTAAAGGAAGCTTCAAGGGGGGCTTCAAGGGACATGGTGGTACCAGTGGTGCCGGCAAGTAAGTGGGTAATGGTGGGTTTGAAGGCCGTTGGACAGCTTTGTGTTTGGCAACTGTGTTGCAAGTCCGTACGACCTTCCGGAGACTTCTCTCCTTACCACGTTCCCGGACCCAAGCAGCATGTTAGCAATCCTTTCAACAGTACTCCAGACCCTCAACCCTACTATGCCCTACAGAACCCTACCCACTAAACCCCCAAGTCCGATCAACCCTCAACCCTCAACCCTACAACCCTACAACCCTACAACCCTAAACCCTAAACCCTAAACCCTAAACCCTAAACCCTAAACCCTAAACCCTAAACCCTAAACCCTAAACCCTAAAACCTACACCCCAGACCCCTCTCACCCTTAAGAACCCAACTCAAAGCACAAAGCGACGCTCTCTAAAAAACACCCTCGTTGTGGGTTTAGGGTTTAGGGTTTAGGGTTTAGGGTTTAGGGTTTAGGGTTGTGGCGGGGAAGGCGAGGGCAGGGGAGACAACCCAACGTCCGAACCCTGTGCTCAAGATTTAGTCCGAGCCCACCTGCGCGAACTAAACCCTAAACCCTAAACCCTACGCCCTACACCCTACACCCTAAACCCTAAACCCTAAACCCTAAACCCTAAACCCTAAACCCTAAACCGTAAACCTTAAACCCTAAACCCTAAACCCTAAACCCTACACGACCCCTAAACCTTTAAGAGCCCTAAGCCCTCAGCTCCTGCACTTTGCATGTCGTGCAGGTTCTTGCTGCAGCTACAGCTAGACCTCAAGCCCTAAACCCTAAACCCTAAACCCTAAACCCTAAACCCTAAACCCTAAACCCTAAACCCTAAACCCTAAACCTTAAACCCTAAACCCTAAACCCTAAACCCTAAACCCTAAACCCTAAGTCCTAAACGTCATCTCTTGGCTTCAGGACTTCGCCGCCAGCCTTTCGAGGGTGCCAATGGCCATTGTTGACTCCTTGTGTGGTATGCAGGGTTATGGGTCCCCTAAACCCTAAACCCTAAACCCTAAACCCTAAACCCTAAACCCTAAACCCTAAACCCTGAACCCTGAACCCTGAACCCTGAACCCTGAACCCTAAGCCCTAAACCCTAAATCCTAATGCTAAAGCCTAGAAACTAGAAGCCCTGAACCCTAAACCCTAACTCCTCAACCCTAAAATCCTATCCCTGAACCAAGATGCTGTTTAAGGTTGGTAGGTCCGCTGAAGCACAGAGGGGAGTTTAGGGTTTAGGACTTAGGGTTTAGGGTTTGGGATTTAGGATTTGGAGTTTAGGGTTTAGGGTTTAGGTTTTAGGGTTTAGGGGGTGTATGGCTTGATGCACAGGGCTTTAGGCAGTGTATGGCTTGAATTTTCCTGCCTACGCCTTGGTGTTGTCGCTTGATGGCCGCGTTGCAACCATTCACCTTAGTTAGGCTCTCTAGGGGGTTAGGCTTCAGGGGCTCCTAGATGTCAACCTCGGGTTTAGGGTTTAGGGTTTAGGGTTTAGGGTTTAGGGCCTCGGAGCCAAGCTGCCAAGTTGCTTCCTCGGGCGTTCTGGCTTGGCCGTCCTTGTGGTCTTTCGACATCGCGGAGTCTCGAACCCGCAGACCTCCATGCCCCTAAAGTCTTCCGTGCCTTGTACGCTAGCCCCCGACTGCCCGTAACATCCATGGCGCTGCGTCCGCCTGCCGCGGCGATGCCCGGCACTTGGCATGGCCAGCCCAACCCAAAACCCAAAACCCAAAACCCAAAACCCTAAACCCTAAACCCTACACCCTAAACCCTAAACCCTAAACCCTAAACCGCAATTGTTAAACTCAAATTCAACCCCCCGCAAACTCGACGTCAAGGGGAGGGCTTTTCTGATGTCGCTTGGGCGGCTCAGGTACGACCTTGCAGGGTGTGGGACCCTGGGTTCACAATGTAGGGTTTAGGGTTTAGGGTTTAGGCTCAACGCTTGGGGGCGCCGTACAGGACTACTTGGTCATCTGCCCTACGGGAAGCCTTAAAACCCGAAAACCCGAAAACCCTAAACCCAACAAAACCCTAGCTCCTAAAACCCTAAACCCTAAATACTAAACCCTAAAACCCTAAAACCCTAAACCCTAAACCCTAAACCCCAAACCCCAAACCCCAAAGCCTACACTCTGAGTTTCTCAAATGGGAGGCATGCTTCGAGGGGTTTAGGTTAGGGGTTAGGGGCACTGACACAATGGAGCCTGAAGAAGCTCTGATGTATTCAAAGAGCACCAGCGCAGACCCTAAACCCCCCAAAAAAAACCCAACAGCCCCAGAAATTTCACAGCCCTGACAAGCCAGAAAGCCTTAGGAAGGCCTGTAGAAACCCCAAACCCCAAACCCCCAAAACCCTAAACGCTAAACCCAAAACTCTACAAGCTCAAAAGTGTCCAAAATAGCCCCTCCGATCGACCTGAAAAAGCATCGACGCTTCCTAGGCCCCGACTCCCCCGCGCCACTGCGGGGATTGGTGCCAAGGGACTGCCCAGGTTTCTCCAAGCTGGTGTTTAGGGTTTCGGGGTTTAGGGCTTATAATCTTTAGGGTTCAGGGTTTAGGGTTTCGGGCGTGGGGTTTGGGGTTTAGGGTTTGGGGGTTTAGGGTTTGTCCAAGGTATGATTGTATTCTGGGTTTTGAGGCTCAAGGGTATGTAAGGTTTAGGGTTTTTTGGTAGGATGTAGGGTTTAGGGGAGCAGGTTTAGGGTTTAGGGTTCAGGGTTTTCGGGATTTCTGTTTTTTTTTCGATAGGGAGGGGCTACGGCGGGTGGGGGGGGGGGGGGGGGGGGGGGTTCATGGTGAGGATTTTTGGGGTTGAGGTGTTGATGAGTTAGCAGACTTCAGCTTCCAAAAGTTTGGCCTTAGTTGAAGGCTTTACAGACGCTGTACACACTTTTGTGACAGGTTTCAGGTCCTCTGCAACCCCCTGTGCGTGCGGGGTTTGTGTTTTAGGGCCCCAACGCTTTGTCGCATCAACCCTAAAAATCCCCACAGGATTCCTTGCAACACACGCGTAGAGTCAAGCCACGGGGGTTCACGCTCAGCCCTACGCGCAAACCGAGGTTACCGAAAGCTCGGGCACCCGCGGCATTGAAAGGTGGGGGGGGGGGGGTTGCGGAAGCTAGGGGGTTGTGCTTCGGGCTTTCGGGAGTTCGGGTTCAGGGTGTGGGGTTTAGGGTTCAGGGTTCTTTCAGAGGTTGTTGGGTAGAGGTTCTGGGTAACAGGCTTCCAGGGTGTAGGGGGTTCAGAGTTCAACTTCCCAGGCCCTACCTGAACCCCAAGCGGCTGAGTAAGCTGAGATTTTCCAAGCCACAAAAAGCTGAGTAAGCTGAGATTTTCCAGCCACAAAAAGCTGAGTAAGCTGAGATGTTCCAAGCCACAAACAGCTGAGTAAGCTGAGATTTCCAAGCTATAAGAGGTTGAGTAAGCTGAGATTTTCCAAGCCACACAAACTGACTAAGCTGAGTTTTATCTAGCCATAAAAAATTTATCAACCCCCCTGAACCCCTGAACACTAAATCCACTGAACCGCTGAGTCCGGCTTCGTTTCGACGTCATCAAGTGCCCGTACTTCAAACCCGAACCCCTTTGCCCCAAGCTACCTTACAGTTAAGAAGTATGTCCTACACTCTAAGCCGTAAACCAACCCTAAACCCGAACCCTATATGATTGAGTCTTTCCTGCTTGCGTGATTTTGGAATATCTCTAAAGCCCAAATCCATCCCAAGCCCGGAAGCTTAGAGTCTAAACCCTAAACTCTAAGCCCTCAACCCTGACCGCTAAACCCCAAATAACCTTCCCCCTTCCCGCTCCGTGCTGGGTGCGCAGGCCTTCAGCGAAGGCCGCGTTCGGGCGGGGTTTAGGTTTAGGGTTTAGGGTTTAGGGTTCAGGGTTTAGGGTTTAGGGTTTAGGGTTCAGGGTTCAGGGTTCAGGGTTCAGGGTTCAGGGTTCAGGGTTTAGGGTTTAGGGTTTAGGGTTTAGGTGTCGGGGTTGAGCTTCCGAGGTTGCAGGAGCCAGGCTTTCGGGTTTAGGGTCCCTCAACCTTCAACCGACCAAAGCTATGAGTGGGAAACTGACTGTTCGGGCTTGGGATTAAAATGAACCTGAACTACCATGCGCGGTTGCGTGAAACGATTACTGGCAACCAGGTGGGTGGGGAGGAGGCTGGAGGAGGAGGGCGGGGCAGAGAGCCACCCCAACCTTGGAATGTTCCCCCGTATACTAGCAGTCCTTCATGGTCCTTAATGGGGATTATCATACCCCCCTAGTTTAATCCTTACTCAGGAACTGTTAGTATAAGGGAGAACATCCCAACCCAAACCTAAGCCTACGTGGGCAGTCGGCAGGTCGCTCCAGTGGGCTAGTGCCCTGTGCTGCCGCGTAGACAGTTCAGTCACGCACCATCTTACCCAAGCAACTCAACACACGGCTGCTCCGCAACACAAAAGTCGCCGCTTTCTTCGTGTAGGGGACGCCTCTAAGAATCAAATAGCCAACCCGTACCACTGCGTCCTAGAGTCTGAGGGTTTAGAGTTTTAGCCCTTTGGGGGTGTGGAGGTCGTATCACTTCGGCTCCTCATCATACGTGGCAGCCTTCGGTGAGAAGCCGCCTGTGGATGTCAAGACACCGTGCGGCACGTACCAGCAACAGTCAGGTCTCGGAATGGGGTTTAGGGCTTGGAGGTTTCGGGTCCAGGGTTTAGGTTTTAGGGTTTAGGATTTAGGGTTTAGGGTTTAGGGTTAAGGGTTTAGGGTTTAGGGTGAAGTCGGTACGTGGCTTCTGAATGTTGCACGCCCAACAGCGGCTTTTTTTGAGGCGCTTAGTACTTAGCTGCACGACTTTGAGATGGAGGCAAGGTTTCATAGCCCCCACATCCAACAGCCACGCGCTTTTGGTTGGGGTTTAGAGTTTGGGGGTGTTGCCCTTTCTATGCCGCTTCTTGCCTGGGAGGTGACTTGAAGCCCAAGACCCCAAACCCCAAACCCTGAATTCAAGACCCTCTTTGTCCCCAAACCCTAAACCCTAAACCCTAAACCCTAAACCCTAAACCCTAAAGGCCCTAAAGCCTAAGCGACTTAGACCCTGCACCCTGAGCCCGAAGCCTCTCCTTAGCCTGAAGCCCTAGAAAGTTGTGGATAATGTTTTACAAGGGCCTGTAAGGTTGAGGCTTTGTAAGGCTTAAGGTGTTTAGGTATTTTGGGCCTCTAAAGTTGAGAGGGCCTAGGATGCTCAACTCCGCAACCTTCACCCGAAATGCTCCCCAAATCAAGCTTAAGCACTCATCCCAAAAACCCAAACCCTAAACCCTAAACCCTAAACCCTGAACCCTAAACCCTAAACCCTAAACCCTAAACCCCAAACCCTGCACCCTTAAACGCACAGCCCAAGCTTGCGTAGGCCTCCAGGGCCTTGCAACCACGACAGATCACCTGGGTTTAGGGTTTGGGCCTCGTGAACCCTTAAAGCCTAAAACCCCAAACCCTAAATCCTAAACCCAACACCCTGAACCCTGAACCCTGAATCCTAAACCCTGAACCCTGAGCCCTGAGTCCTAAACCCAAACCCTAAACCCTAAACCCTGAACCCTGACCCTCAACCCTGCACAGAGAGAGCGAGAGAGAGAGAGAGAGAGAGAGAGAGAGAGAGAGAGAGAGAGAGAAAGCGGGAGCGAAAGATAGGGTTCAGGGTTCAGGGTTCAGGGTTCAGGGTTCAGGGTTTAGGGTTTAGGGTTTAGGGTTTAGGGTTTAGGGTTTAGGGTTTAGGGTTTAGGGTTTAGGGTTTAAGAGGGAGAGAGAGAGATCATGAGGATGCTCCGCAGCAGCACCGTGGAGTACTTGGAGGCCTTCGACGCAAAGTCCTGGCACGAGGATCCCGTACGCACGCTTCTTCGAGGCCGGGGGGTTGGAGTTTGGGGTTTAGGGTTAGGGCTTTAGGGTTTAGGGTTTAGGGTTTAGGGTTTAGGGTTTAGGGTTTAGGGTTTCGAGTTGAGGGTCAAGAATCTCCCCCGATAGAGGCGGAACAAGGTGTCTCCCCACGCATGAACACTGCTCACCCCTATGTAGCACCTCTACAGTCTACACTGAAGCCAAGATCCTCAGAACTCTTCAAGCCCTAAACTACCCCCAAACCCTGACCCTAAACCTTTAATTCCAAACCCTGACCTCAAGCCCACGACCAGAAACCTTAAGCCCTCAACCCAAATCCCCCCTAAACCCCTGAACCCAAAATCTTTGTATGCCCAAAAGAGCGCCACTTGGGAGAATGTAGGGCGGCGAGTTTTTCAGGGGCTTTCTGGGCAGTTCCGGGGTGGGGGCTTCAGATTGAGGTTTACTTGGGGTGCTGGGAAAGCTGGGGTTCCAAGTTCAGTACAGTTTAGGGCTGGGGGGGTTGGGGGGGTTCAGTATGGTTTAGGGTTTAGAGTTTGAGGTTTAGGGTTTAGGGTTTAGGGTTTAGGGTTTAGGGTTTAGGGTTTAGGGTTTAGGGTTGAGGGTCGAGTTTAGGTCGGGACGCTCTCCACAGGCGATCCTTTGGAGGGGGGCGAAGAGGTCGACACGGTGGACGCCTTTGGCAGTGCCCCTGGACAGCCAACGAGGAGGGGTTACCCTAAACCCTAAACCCTAAACCCTAAACCCTAAACCCTAAACCCTAAACCCTAAACCCTAAACCCTAAACCCTAAATCCTAAACCCTAAACCCTAAACCCTAAACCCTATTCTGGCTTTAGGGCTTTTTTTGCGGGCCCGGGAGCCGAAGCCCGAAATCCAAAGTCGACTGAACTCCCAAGGTCAATGGCAAGCAGATTCTGGCCACCAGCGCTGGTGTCGATGCCGTGCTCGCACATATGCAGCAGGTTGCCGTTGGCAAGGACCGGCTCCAAAAGGAGGGCTTTAGGGCTAGACCCTAAACCGTAAAGCCTAAACCCTAAACCCTAAACCCTAAACCCTAAACCCTAAACCCTAAACCCTAAACCCTAAACCCTAAACCCTAAACCCTAAACCCTAAAACCTACACCCTAAACCCTAAACCCTAAACCCTAAACCCTAAACCCTAAACCCTAAACCCTAAACCCTAAACCCTAAACCCTAAACCCTAAACCCTAAACCCTAAACCCTAAACCCTAAACCCTAAACCCTAAACCCTAAACCCCTAAACCCCTAAACCCCTAAGAAACCTGAACCCTACAGGGGGGGCACAAGCTGGATGAAGGACTTCCGAGACGGCGTGCGGCGCATCGAAGCTCCTCGGTCTCAGGGGTGGACTGGGAACAACCCTAAACCCTAAACCCTAAACCCTAAACCCTAAACCCTAAACCCTAAACCCTAAACCCTAAACCCTAAACCCTAAACCCTAAACCCTAAAACCCTGCACCCTAAATCCCAAACTCTAAACCCGCCCTAAACCCTAAGCCCTAAACCCTAAACCCTAGCCCTCAACCAGGGTTTCTAGGGCTCGAGGGGAGATGGTTCATACTTCGGGCACTCGAGTCTTCGGGTCCTTTGGGTGTGGGCGAGCTCGGTGGTTTTGTAGTGCCGGTAGGTCGGCCCCGCGAAGTTCCAAGCCCTGCAGGAGGGATTTCGGGTTTAGGGTCTAGGGTCTAGGGTGTCGGAGTTTAGGGTTCTGGGTTTAGGGTTGAGGGTTCAGGGTTTAGGGCTCCCAGCTCCCAGAAAAGCTCTGAAGACCTCCCTAAGTTCTGAACCCCCACGGGCGGGCGAGGCACGACTCCTCTCCAGCCATGCAGCGCAGCAGCTCGCTGGCAAAAGCCTTGCGGCTCGCGTTGACGGATGCACCAGCTTTAGACTCGTCAGGGTTTAGGGTTCATGGGGTTTAGGGTTTAGCATTTTTTGGATTTTGTGGGTTGAGGGTGCGCGACAGGGGCCGGAGATGTTGTTGCTGCAGGCTGATTGGAAACCAGGCGATGGACTTCCACAAGCAGGACGCCCACGTCATAAGGGTTGGGGGGTTTCGGACCCAAATATCTTGAGCCCGAAAGGTCACAAAGACTGGACAAAGCTTAGAATCCCTTCAAGGGGGGTGTTGGTGGGCACTGCAAAATCCCCACCAAGAGCCAGCCTCAAGCCCGACCCGAACACTACAGGGGCTTCGGGTTCAGGGTTCAGGGTTCAGGGTTCAGGGTTCAGGCTTCAGGGTTTAGGGTTTAGGGTTTAGGGTTTGAGGTTGAGGGTAGATCAGGGGCTTTGTCGCCCGCTCCTCATACGAAAGTCGCTTGACGCTCTCTCCCTCGCGAGGACGGCGTCACGGAGATCGAGGAGTCCATCGAGGCGAACGTGGTGGAGAGGAAGCTGCCGCTGGGGTCGCAGTTTTTGGAGTTTCTGTGGGATTTGTGGGGGGTTTGCATAAGGGACCCCCAGATCGTAGGATTCCCTTATCATAAGGACCCCAGCAAGGTGCCCCGAATTTCGTTACAAGCCCCCCATGTTCTTACAGATTGAAGGTGTAGGGGTCAGGTCTGTGTAGTCAAGTCGAGCCCGAAGCCCTTGAAGCCCTGAATCGCGCAGCCCTAAGACCCTGGAATCCGGCAACTTGTAAGGAGGGGGCCCCGGGAGAGGTGATGGGAGCGAAGTTAGGTATTTCTAGAATTCTCTAGAGGGTCGACTTGGGGGCCTATTGCTTTATAATTGGGACCTGTTGTTTAGTATTGTGATTAAGGCCTTCGCCCCCCCCCCCCCTCCCCCTCCCTTGGAGCGCCAGCACTTGGAGGTTCGTGGGTACTAAGAACCCCAATTCTAAGTCTACTTATAACTTACAACCTACTAAGGGGACTCAGGCGGCTTCTTATAGGTACAGCTATAATTGGGGTCATAAGTACCCTGAACCTCCAAGCGTGCTTGAGGAACGACCTCCTCCTTGAGGACGAGCGCGCCGGCCGCGTGCGGGTCCAGCGGCAGCCGGCCCTCGTCGGCTGTGTTTCCAACTTCTCCAACTTCCTGGCGACTTGGGCCAAGAGTTTCTAGAACCCTAAACCCTAAACCCTAAACCCTAAACCCTGAAGCCTGAACCCTGAACCCTAAACCCTAAACCCTAAACCCTAAACCCTAAACCCTAAACCCTAAACCCTAAACCCTAAATAGCCCTACATGGGTAGCTCTCTAACTTAGGGTCCTAAGTTAGGGCCCTCTTTTTCGTAAGGCGCCCTTAGAACAGGGACCCTCAGGGCTTGAGAGAACTGCCCCCCCCCCCCCTCCCTTTTTTTGTTTCGCCAAGTTCTCTACGGGACCCTGATCTCCCTGAGAGAGCCCGAAACCCTACCAAAGGAAACCCCAACTTGGGATGTTCCCCTCATACGAGCAGTCCTTAGTAGGGATTCTAACAGGGGGCTACTTTAGGGACTGTTAGTATAAGGGGGGGAAAAGCCTTAAAACCTTAAAACCCTAAACCCTAAACCCTAAACCCTAAGCCCCAAACCCCGGAACATCCCAACCCCAAACCTCAAGCGCGGCAGGACCTTTGCCGCAAGACCCTTCGCAACATCGAGCTGGGAGTGCCGGTGCTGGTGCCTTTGCCTTGCTTAGCTAGGGTTTAGGGTTTAGGGTTTAGGGTTTAGGGCTTAGGGCTTAGGGCTTAGGGTGTAGGTTTTAGGGTTTAGGGTTTAGTTTATATATATATATATAATTTTCTGTTGTGTGTATTGTGTGTAGGGTTCACGTGGACCCCTAAACCCGAAACCCTAAACCGTCGGGTTCAGGTTATAGCAAGCCTTAGATCACAATGGGTACAACACTGGGCACAACTTGTAGGGTTTAGGGTTTAGGGGTTTTCCTTGAGAATGACACTCAAATGAGTGGGAGAAAATCTGCAAGAATCAGAGCATTCGCCATAGACACAATCATCAGGGGTCTCTATGGCTTTAGAGGTCGCAGAGTTGTTTGGGGTTGGAGGGTTTCAGGGCTCTAGAGCTTTAGGGTTCTACGGAAGTCTTGCAGTTTTCGGGTTTAGGGCATTGGGTGCGTTGTCGCGCGAAGATGCAAACGGATCTCAGCATGCCCTTCATTTTGCAAGCTGCCAAGCTTGGCCAGCCGGCCTTTGCATGAATCGCTGCACTCGCTGCCTGCCGCGGATTCGTGGCCAACATCATTCGACCCTAAACCCTCAACCCGAAACCCTAAACCCTAAACCCTAAAACTCCTCAGGTTCTGAGCCGCTCCAACACGACGCAGCACATGTTTCGGTGGACGCAGCTCCTGCTTGCCCGGCGCTGAGACTGCTTTGGAATCGGAGGCTCTGTTGGGCCCTACTTGATAGAAGTATAACCATACTCATTAGGTTTAGGGTTTAGGGTTTAGGGTTTAGGGTTTAGGGTTTAGGGTTTAGGGTTCTGTTGGGCCCTACGTTTTACTATATTCTCCAACAGCTGAACTTTAAACTTTTTGGTTTTCCCTATTTAGTGGGAATGATAAAGTTTAACCGCTTTTTTCCCTTGGTCATTGGAGAAGGAGAAGTATGGCCTTAGTAGTAGTAAATAATACCATAAAGGTCGCAATACCTCCAGGAGAGTCATGTCATATGCCACTGAATGAAATGTTCAGAGTAGATTTCGCGTTGGAATCCATATTATATATATATATATATGTATATCTATATCGAATACAGATATATATATATATATACATATATATCTATCTATCTGAATGAATGGTTATATGAACATGAGTCCCACAATTCATATTCTAGCATGAATACATCTTTGTAGTAGTCATAGTACAACAGTCATAAGAAGAAACAGTACTAGTGCAGCCCGAAATAGCTTCTCACGCACGAACCTTAGGCCCTAAACCTTAAGTCTCGAGCCCTAGAACCACAAAAGCATAAACCCCTAAAAGCCCAGAACCCCTGAAGCCCTAAAACCCTAAACCCTGAAAACCGTAAACCCTAAACCCTAAGGCAGTGCACACCCAACACCTAACCCTGAATCCGAAAAACCCTGAGCTCCACTTGTTTAGGGTTTAGGGTTTAGGGTTTAGGGTTTAGGGTTCAGGGTTTCGGGACCCTCTTCTCAGCCAGGGTTTGCAGACCCCCCGCTCTAGACCCTGTGCTCCAACTTTCCTGGGCTTGTCACCCTAAACCCTGAGCTCCAAACCCTAAAACCCTAAAACCCTAAAACCCTAAACCCTAAACCCTAAACCCTAAACCCTAAACCCTAAACCGTAAACCCTGAACCCGAAACCCTAAACCCTAAACCCTAAACCCTAAACCCTAAACCCTAAAACAGGCTGAGCTCCGCAAGGAGAACATCGACACATCACTGGTGAGCTACCTCTCGTGCACCATTGTGACTCAGCCTTGGGGCCTTTCGGGGTTTTTGGGGGATTTTATCGGGTTTAGGGTTTAGGGTTTAGGGTTTAGGATTTAGGGTTTAGGGTTTAGGATTTAGGGTTTAGGATTTTCGGCTTCCTTTGGGACCTCCGGAGCCTACCTTGAGCTGTTGGGAGCTGTTGCCTTAGGCAACGGCACCTCAAGAACACCTGGAATGTGAGGGTCCCTTTACTCAACCCCCCCCCTTGTTTTGGTCCCCGGGGTTTGGAGGGGTGGAAAAAAAAAGAGGGGGTGTCAATAATGCGGATTCTGGGGGTCTGGGGTCTGGGGGTCTGGGGGTCTGGGGGGGGTCAGCTGTCAGGGAACTTAAGCTATTTTCAGTAACATTTTCAATTCCTGGCCGGAAAAAATGTACAATTACCACCCCATTATTATTATCACCGGACCCCCCTATATAGACTTGTTTACATACATCGGCCCGAAAACCTCCCGTAATGGAAAGTAGTCTTCGGCTGGGGCCCTCTGGCCCGGCGAATATTACTTTCAACGTCCCATTTATAAATGGGACGTTGCAGTAACATTAGGGTTTAGGGTTTAGGGTATAGGGTTTAGGGTTTAGGGGTTCAGGGTTTAGGGGTTTAGGGTTTAGGGTAGGTTCTGTTCGTAACAAACTCCTTTAAGCTTTTAAAACGCCGCAGCCCCTCAACCCTAGAGCTCTCAGACCCCGTTCACGCCCCCTCCTCCGGCCCCCAACCCAAGTCCGAGCCCAGGCGGAGCAACGGCGCGTCATGAAAGCCCTGGCCCACTGTCCACTCTATCTGACCGGTAGCCGCGAGGCCCTCTAGGGGCCTGTGGGTTTTTTAGACGGTTTAGGGTTTAGGGTTTAGGGTTTAAGGTTCAGGGTTTGGGGGCTGGGGCGTTCGGAAAACTCCGAAATAGAAAGGGTTGGCAAGCCAAGGCTCCCTACTGCAGTAGTGCTTTTTCCCAAAGTCTAAACCCCCTCGTGCTCCCGCAGACCCCCTAAGCTTCTACTTAGGTATTCCCCTTAAACCCTACCCCTAAACCCCAAACCGCTTAAGAAGCTTTCCACATGCCTTCTGGGGTTCATACTCTTTTTTTTGTCTCTCACAAATTGTTAAACAGCGTCCTTCAGCACCAAAGGCAAGGCCTCACAACCCTCAAAGAAGCTTAGCTCTCAAATTGGGCAGAGGGGTCGTTTAGGTTTGGGTCAGCTCAAGGGGACCATGTTGAAAGTAGGCTGGGACCCTAAACCCTAAACCCTAAACCCTAAACCCTAAACCCTAAACCCTAAACCCTAAACCCTAAACCCTAAACCCTAAACCCTAAACCCTAAACCTTAAACCTTAAACCCTAAACCCTAAACCCTAAACCCTAAACCCAAAACCTTAAACCCTAAACCCTAAACCCTTTTCATTTGTCGGGTCCAGAAGAGGTGGCAGCGGCCATCAAGGAGCTGATGCCCTACACTTTCGCGAGCTGGGGGCTTAGCCTTGGTCCCACCCTACTTTGGTTGCTTTGGGTGTAGGGTTTAGGGTTTAGGGTTTAGGGTTCTTCATCACAACTCAAGCATTTGAGGGCTTACCCTAAACACGAAAGCCCTAAACCCTTTAAACCCCTAGACCCCTAAACCCAGAAAGCCCCAGTACCCTCAACCCCTAAGCCCTAAACCGTAAACCCTAAAGCCTAAGCCCTAACCCTAAACCCTAAAGCCCAAGCCGCCTTATCCCTAAACCCTTATCCCTAAACCCTAAACCCTAAACCCAAACCCTAAACCCTAAGCCCTAAAGCCCACATGCACGCGAGAGCTCTCTGAAGGCACTGGTGGGCCCAACACCATGGTTGCGCCGACGCTGGATGCTGATACTGAGGCATTAGGGTTTGTTTAGGGTTAAGGGTTTAGGGTTTAGGGTTCAGGGTTTGTCTAGGGTTTAGGGCTTTTTAGGATGTAGGGTTGAGGGTTTAGGGCCCCGAAACCCTGAACCCCAAACCCCAAGCCCCAAACCCCAATCCCCAAACCCCTAAATCCTAAACCCCCAAACCCCTAAACCCCTAAACCCTAAAATCCCTAAACCCCTAAATCCTAAAATCCCTAAACCCCTAAATCCTAAAATCCCTAAACCCTAAACCCCAAACCCCAAACCCTAAACCCTAAACCCCAAACCCCAAACCCCTAAATCCTAAACCCCAAACCCCAAACCCCAAACCCCTAAACCCTAAACCCTAAACCCCATAAACCAAGCACTGCACACTCAGGCCTTGGCCCAAGAGTGCACCGGACGCCCGCTCGAAAGATGCTTCATCCGCGAAACCCCCGGTCTCAAAGTGGCCTAGGGCTTAGGGGTTTAGGGGTTTAGGGGTTTAGGGGTTTAGGAGTTTAGGAGTTTAGGAGTTTAGGGAGTTTAGGGAGTTTAGGAGTTTAGGGAGTTTAGGAGTTTAGGAGTTTAGGGAGTTTAGGAGTTTAGGGTCCTAAGCCCCCCCTAAGCTAACAAACCTCAGAGGACCCCATCGCCATGCCTAAACCCTAAACCCCAAACCCTAAACCCCAAACCCCAGACCCTAAACCTCACCTGACAGGCCGCGATCCGCATGTCGAGCACCATCGAGAACAGCGGGCAGTGCACGGCCATGAGGCAGCTCAAGTCTAGGGTTTGTTTAGGGTTTAGGGTTTAGGGTTTAGTGTTTAGGGTTTAGGGTTTAGGGTTCAGGGTTTAGGGTTTACGGTTTAGGGTTTAGGGTTTGTTTTGGGTTTCGGGTTTAGGGTTTAGGGTTTAGGGTTTAGGGTTTAGGGTTTAGGGGCCCGAAGCCCAGAACCTCGAAGCCCAAAACCCCCTAACGCCATAAACTTCGACCGCCAAAGCCAGACTCGGAGCCTTTGTAGAGCTGAAGGTCTGGCAAGTTCCTCCTCTAGCAGGATGCTTCTTCGAGGAGATCTTAAATTAAAAGTCCTTGTAAGGGTTTCGGGTTTCGGGTTTAGGGTTTAGGGTTTAGGGTTTAGGGTTTAGGGTCACTTATATGGCCCCTATTTTACAGGCTTGTGGTAGTAGGGGTTTAGGGCTTCGGGGTCTTGGGCTCCGCCCTAAAGCCTAGACCGTTTACACTCTAAACCCTAAACTCTACACCCCTGAACCCTAAACCCAAACCCAAAACCCAAAACCCAAAACCCAAAACCCAAAACCCAAAACCCCAAACCCTAAACCCTAAACCCTAAACCCTAAACCCTAAACCCTAAACCCTGACCCCTAACCCTGAACCCTAAACCCTCAACTGCAGGCACCTGGTGACCGAGTCTTGCAGCAAGGAGGACCTGCAGAGGAGAGCTCGTGGGTTGACAAGCATGATTCCCCCGAATCCCGAACAAGGTTTGGGTTTAGGGTTTAGGGTTTAGGGTTTAGGGCTTAGGGCTTAGGGTTTAGGGTTTAGGGTTTAGGGTTTAGGGTTTAGGGGTGCAGGTTGGGATGTTCCCCCTTATACTAACAGTCCTAAAGTTAGACACCGTTTTAAACCCCACTAAAGCAAAGACACATGGTATCTTTGTTTTCCTAAACCTTAAACCCTAAACCCTAAATCCTCACCCTAAACCCTTAAACATGAACCCTAGACCCGAAACCCGAAACCCAAACCCTAAACCCTGAAACTGGAGTCGTCCTGTTCTTTTGTGGGTCCCTCTTCCATTCAGGGTATCGAGCCGCGATGCGAGGATCTTCAATCCGGTGCAAGGCACCGAGTCAGCAGCCGACAGCTTGAGACGAGGCTCAGGGTTCAGGGTTTCGGGTTTCGGGTTTAGGGTTTAGGGTTTAGGGTTTAGGGTTTAGGGTTTAGGGTTTAGGGTTCAGGGTTTCGGGTTTAGGGTTCAGGGTTTCGGGTTTAGGCCCAAACCCTCAGCTCCTTAAGCTCAAGCCCCTCAGCTCTCATAGGGGCCCTATCCCCTTCATTCAAACCAACCTTCGTGTCAAACCTAACACTCTAGTAAGCCCTAAAGACCCTTAACAGTGCAAAGACCCTGAAAACCCCTAAGCCCCAAAAACCCTCAAAACCCTAACGGCCCTAACGGCCCCCCAATATCCCTAGGCCCCAAATATTCCTGAACCTCTTCAAGCTCTACAGACCCTGAAAACCCCTAAGCCCTAAATACCCTTACCCTGAACCCCAAACCCTAAACCCTAAACCCTACACCCTAAACCTCTCTTTCATATGTAATTTAAATGTTAATGAGTTACTGGGCAAGGTCAGTTTTTTACTGGGCAAGGTCATTTTTTTACTGGGCAAGGTCGTTCGGTCTAAAACAACGACCTTGCCCAGTAAAAAATGACCTCGCCCAGTAAAAAAATGACCTTGCCCAGTAAAAAATGACCTCGCCCAGTAACAGGGCAAGGTCATATTTTTACTGGGCAAGGTTATTTTTTACTGGGCAAGATCATTTTTTTACTGGGCAAGGTCATTTTTTTTTTACTGGGCAAGGTCATTTTTTTACTGGGCAAGGTCATTTTTTTACTGGGCAAGGTCGTTCGGTCTAAACACAGAGGGTTACTGGGCAAGGGTCCTTTTTTTACTGGGCAAGGTCATTTTTCTTCTGGGCAAGGTCATTTTTTTTTTTTTACCGGGCAAGGTCGTTTCTTTACCGGGCAAGGTCATTTTTTTTTACTGGGCAAGGTCATATTTTAACTGGGCAAGGTCATGTTTTTACTGGGCAAGGTCATTTTTTACTGGGCAAAGTCATTTTTTTTACTGGACAAGGTCATTTTTTTTCTGGGCAAGGTGATGTTTTTGCTGGGCAAGGTCGTTCTATAAGTGAAATTTTTTTCTTAATGTTGTGGGATTCTTCGGCCGGGGGGGGGGGGGGGTATTTTCCTGGAATAATTGCTTGACTAGTGAATGCTTGGACTTGAGATGCTGAACCCTAAACCCTAAACCCTAAACCCTAAACCCCAAACCCTTAAAACCCTAGAACGGCCCTAAAGGGCCCAAAGCTCCAGAGAAGTGCCGGCTCCAGGTGCTTTCGATGGGCTCTTCACCAGCTGGGCCCGAAGCTTTCAGGAGCGGCTTGGGGGGGTTTAGGGTTTAGGGTTTAGGGTTTAGGGTTTAGGGTTGAGGGTTTAGGGTTTAGGGTTGAGGGTTTTAGGGTTTTAGGGTTTTGGGGTTTTAGGGTTTTAGGGTTTTAGGGTTTTAGGGTTTTAGGGTTTTAGGGTTTTAGGGTTTTAGGGTTTTAGGGTTTTAGGGGTTTAGGGTTTTAAGGTGTGTTGAAAACCCGAAGCCCTTAAAAAACCGCTAAAGCCTTAAATTGCAGAGCCTAAAACCCTGGAATCCTAAACCCGAAGCCCTAAAACCGTAAGGCCTTGAATTACAAACCCTAAGCCCTAAACCCTAAACCCTAAACCCTAAAACCCTAAAACCCCAAACCTCAAAACTCTGAAACCCGTAAACCCAAACCCGGGATCTTAGCTTTTTTTGGGGTGTGTAATTCAAGGCAAGGCTTCGGGTGTAGGATTTTTAGGGTTTTAGGGTTTGTGATTCAAGGCCTTTGGGTTTTCGGAAAACGGGTTTAGGATTCCAGGGTTTCTAGGGTTTGTGGTTTAAGGCTTTAGGGGCTTTCAGGGCTTCGGGTCTTAGGACTTTGAAAGTCTTCGGGTTTGTGATTTGAGGCTTTAAGGGTTTTGGGGCTTCGGGTTTAGGGCTTTAGGGTTTGTGACTTAAGGCTTTAAGGGTTTCAGGGCTTTGGGATTACAGCCATTCTTCTAAACCCTAAACCCTAAACCCTAAACCCTAAACCCTAAACCCTAAACCTCAAACCCTAAACCCTAAACCCTAAACCCTAAACCGTAAAACCCTAACACCCAAACCCCAAGCCATTCTTCGTCTCCGGAAGAGGCCCAGGCGGGGTACCAGCTCCTCGAGGCCTCCCCCGCGACTCAGCCGGTCGCGCCGCTCCCCTGAAGATGAGTCAGGGTTTAGGGTTTAGGGTTTAGGGTTTAGGGTTTAGGGTTTAGGGTTTAGGGTTTAGGGTTTAGGGTGTAAGGTTTCAGGGTTTAGGGTTTAGGGTATAAGGTTTAGGGTCTAGGGTCTAGGGTTTGGGGTTTAGGGTTTAGGGTTTAGGGTATAAGGTTTAGGGTCTAGGGTTTAGGGTTTAAGGTTTAGGGCTTCTTGGAGGTTCATGGTACTTATTAACCCATGATAACTGCACTTATAACTCTACTCAGAACCATATTAGGGCACTCAGGGGGCGTATAAGTGGTTTATGAGTACAGTTATAAATGTTTAATAAGTACCATGAACCTCCAAGTTAGGGGGCAGGATCATAAATTATGGGTATTCAGGGGTTGAGTGTTTAGGGTTGGGGTCTTTTGGGGTTGGGGGATTTGAGGTTTTTGGCTTCAGGGTTGTGGGAATTCAGGGCTTGACAATGGTTTGGGGCGCAGGGACTTACGGCAAGGTGTATAGGTGATGAGGGTTCAGAGTTTGGGGTTCAGGGCTTCAGGGTTTGAGGGGTGTGGGTTTTCAGGCTCACAGCGTGCCAGATTGAAGTGCTGTTTGTTATGGGTTTAGGGTTTAGGGTTTAGGGTTTAGGGTTTAGGGTTTAGGGTTTAGGGTTTAGGGTTTGGGGTTTAGGGTAAGCAGGCCCCTGGAGTACCTAGTTCAGTGTGCAGGGCGAAGACGGCTTGCATTGGGGATGTGCATGTTCAGGGTTCCGTGGGCTCCCTACAATTTAGGTTTAGGGTTTAGGGTTTAGGGTTTAGGGTTTAGGGTTTAGGGTTTAGGGTTTAGGGTTAACCAAAACCCCAACACCCCCCAAGCCCTCAAACCCTCAACCCCCCCTAAGTCCCTAAAACCCCACCCTAAACCCTAAACCCTAAACTCTAGACCTCGAACCCTAAACTTTGTGGGCGTTTACGGAGTACTATAGGGGCATAGATGGCTTCATATGAGGGGACCATGGAACTACCCTAAGCTCTAAACCCTAAACCCTAACCCTAAACCCTAAACCCTCTGATACTCCCAGGTATCGCATTGCTGAGAACCTCACCCCGACGGGCCTGGAGGAGAATTGGCGGCGGGTCTACCTGGATGCCCCCCGGATCGCGAGCGCTGATTTCGGGTTTGTGGCAATTTCCTCAGGGTTCAGGGTATAGGGTTTCGGGTTTAGGGTTTAGGGCTACAAATGCCATCTGCTCCATCTGGGATGACACCAGCGTCGGTAGTGTTGACAGCGCTGGTAGTGCCACTGCTAGTGCAATTTGGATGTCATCTGTTTCTGTCGTTGGCACATCTGCTTAAATTGCCAGGGCCATCATGGTGGGGAATGAAGGAGTAGTCAGTACGTATAGTCCGTATAGTAACATTCCAGTCTTTCATTCCCGAGTAACCAGCAGCAAGACGTCGCTGCTCGCAGCCACGTCTACAGCCTTCAGGCTCGCGTTTCGTGACTCTAAGGTTCTAGGGTTTTTGGTTTCAGGGTCTAGGGAGGGTCGCCCCCAAACCCCAAAAGACAAACCCCTGAGCCCTAAGCCCTACCCCAGACAGCCCCAAACCCTCAACCCTAAGCCGTAAAAAGGCTGCACGAGTGGTGCCAAGCCCTTCCCAAGGTGAGCCGTCCGCCGGCCGGAAATTCCATCACGGATGGGAGTTACCTCCAGGACGCTCAGCGCCGGGGTTATCCGGGGTTCAGGTTTGGGGCTCAGGGCTTTTCGGGTGTAGGGTTGGCTTTAGGGGGGGTTTGGGGGGTCGGGGGTTTGGTATTTGTTTTTTCTTGGACATTTCTCGCGCGCGCCTAGTGCGCGGGGGGTGCGTACACCCTTCAGCATAAGAATAAGAATAATAAAAAAACAGCAGAAGAAGAAGACAAAGAAGAATAATAAGAAGAAGAAGCAGAAGAAGAAGAATAATAACAATGAGAAGAAGAACAAGAATAATAATCAGAAGAAGAAGAAGAATAAGAAGCAGAAGAAGAATCATAAAAAGAAGAAGAAGAAGAAGCTGAAAAAGCATAATTGAGGGAGAGAGAGGGAGAGAGGGAGAGAGAGAGAGAGAGACACCAGCACCCTGTGCCGCAAACTCAAAAAGTCGATCCTCATGCCCAGAAAACGTCAAGACCCGCTGAATAACTTGAAGCTCGCCACCCCAAACCAGAACGGCATGAATCGTAGGCGTTCAAGCTAGATGAACTGAGCTACCACAAATGGACATCACACGATTCGCATATAGCCGATAAAGCACTCCAGCCCCCAAATCCGATTAAGCCCTACAAAACCCTACTCACTAAACCCCCAAATCCTACAAACCCTAAACCCTAAACCATAAACCCTAAACCCTAAACCCTAAACCCTAAACCCTGAACCCTGAACCCTGAACCCTGAACCCTAAACCCTGAACCCTGAACCCCGAACCCTAAACAGAAACCCTAAACCCTACACCTAAACCCTAACCCAAACCCTAAACCCCAAACCCTACAGTCCCCAAACCCTTAGGCCCTGAACCCTAAACCCTAAACCCTAAACCCTAAACCCTAAACCCTAAACCCTAAACCCTAAACCCTAAACCCTAAACCCTAAACCCTAAACCCTAACCCTAAACCCTAAACCCCAACCCCTCCAGTCCCCAAACCCTTAGGCCCTGAACATAGGCCCTGGCGAGATGGCTCACCGTTGAGCAGCCCATCACACTCGCCGTCAACGGCGACGACAAGTCGGGCAGCCGGGATGCGTTTTTAGGGTTTTCGGTTTGTAGGGTTTAGGGTTTAGGGTTCGTCGGGTTTGAGGGGGTCTTTGGTGCAGGGTTTAGGGTTTGTAGGGTTTGGGGTTTAGGGTTTAGGGGGCAGCTTTGGGAGGGGGGGGGGTATTAGGGTTTGTAGTGGGTTTTGAGGGTGTGGGTTCAAGCCCGAAGTGAAGCATTCCTTTTGTTGGGGGGGAGAGAGTGGGGAAGGTGTTGCAGGGTTTGGTGCTAAACCCTAAACCCTAAACCCAAAACCCAAAACCCAAAACCCAAAACCCAAAAAACCCTAAACCCTAAACCCTAAACCCTAAACCCTAAACCATAAACCCTAAACCCTAAACCCTAAACCTTCAACCCTGAACCCTAAACCCGAAACCCTAAACCCTAACCCAAAGCCTTGCCCTAAACCCTACAGGCTTTAGCATGATGTGGAAGCTCTTCGAGTCAACGGCCCAGGCTGCTTGTCGAAACGTCCGCGTCTTTCGGGCTTCGGATGTGTGCTTTTTTTGCTTTTTGTCCTAAACCCTAAACCCTAAACCCTAAACCCTAAACCCTAAACCCTAAACCCTAAACCCTAAACCCTAAACCCTTTACCTGGTGCTTAGGGGCTCTGGTGGGTTGGGGTTCAGGGATTGGGGTTCTTGCTTCTTTTTTTTTTTTCGGTCTGTGTTGCGTTTGTTGAGATCTTATCTTCTTTGCGTTCGTGTGGGGAGGGGGGGGGGTCGAGGCTCTGAGGTTGCCCTTGCGGCAACCCTGGACTTTCAAAACCCTAAACCCTAAACCCTAAACCCTAAACCCTAAACCCTTGTCAGAACCCTAAACCCCAAACCCCAAAACCCCAAAACCCCCAAAACCCCCAAACCCCAAGCCCCAGAACTACAAACCCCGACACCCGCGGACACTAAACCCAAAGGTGGAACCTCCTCCCCAAAGCCCCAAACCCCACCCCCCCAAACAAAAATCTCAATCCTTGGGATGTTCCCCCGTACGCTAGGGATTCGAATAGGTTTTTTTTAAATCCCTATTAAGGGCCTGTAGCATAAGGGGGAACATCCCCACCCAAACCCCCCAAACTGTACACCCCGAAGCCCGCATGCGCTAAACCCCCCCAAGGGCGGGATCTCCTCGCTTGAGGCAATCTACAGCGTCGGCCGGGCGGGCCGGCCGGCCCTGACGGCGCAAGCTCGGCCGCAGGACTGCGCCCCGAGCGCTTTAGGTTGAGGGTTGAGGTTTGGGGTTTATCAGTTGGGAGGTTTCCTTCTTATACTAAGAATGCCTAAGAGGGATTATTTAATAGGGGGGTGCTGTAATCCCTAGTACGGACTGGTGGTATAAGGGGGAACATCCCAATTTTTGGGTTTAAGGTTTAGGTCCCTTTTTGGAGTCGGCAGGCCAACCAGAACGTCAACCTGAGACAACCCCTCCGCTCCTCTCCCTAAGGCTCTTGGGCCCTCAAAACCCTAGGAATTGAGACCCCAGAACCCTCCTTAGGAGGTACTTGGAGTCTTAAGGCTAGATGGCGACTTGCGACATCCGGACGGGTATTGGCTTGGTAAGCAAGAAAGAAGAGCAAGACAGAAGCAGACGTGGTGTGAGGGTTCAGGGCTTAGGACCCTAAACCATCCTAAACCCTAAACCCTACGGCCCCAAACCCTAAACCCTGAATGGGGTTCAGGATTCAGGGTGTGTAGGGAAGCCTTCGCGTCACTGCGCAGCAGGATGGTGAGATCTTCGGCGAGTTTCCTCCCCGCGCGGATATGTTCCTTGGGGAAAAAGTATCGAAGCCAGCCCTAAACCCTAAACCCTAAACCCTAAACCCTAAACCCTAAACCCTAAACCCTAAACCCTAAACCCTAAACCCTAAACCCTAAACCCTAAACCCTAAACCCTGCATCCTAGAAGCCTCAAGCCCAGAAAGCACAGCGTCCACAAATCGCCCGGAAACCCGCTAAACCCTAAGTCCTAAATCCAAAATCCTCAACCCTAAAAACCCCAAGCCGGAAGCCCTGAGGCCCTAAGCCTGAATCCTAACCTCGAATGCCAAACCTGGAAGGCTGAACCCTAAAGCCTAAATCCTAAACCCTAAATCCTAAACCCTAAACCCTAAACCCTAAACCCTAAACCCTACATCCTAAACCCTAAACCCTAAGAGTACTGGAGGCACCTCTACACCCAGGGGCCCGTCTTTGTTCCTTCGAGCACGCCAAGCGGCTCGGGTTGCACAGAGGCAGGGTTTAGGGTTTAGGGTTTGGGGTTTAGGGTTTAGGGTTTAGGGTTTCGGGTTTAGGGTTTAGGGTTTAGGGTTCAGGGTTCACTGTCCTCTTGGAGTTCTTGAACAGTGGTTCCTCTGCATGGGGGTTTCCGAAAACAGGGGTACCCGCCCTTTTTGGGGGGTTCCTTCAAGGGGATTCTAGGGGGTTTAAAGGGTTTAGGGTTTAGGGTTTAGGGTTTAGGGTTGAGGGTGCCCGAATTTTGGGAAATTCCCACATGTGTATTCATCAAAGGTATGTCTCGGTGTATATCCTACAGCCCTAAAACCCAAACCCTAAACTCTAAGCCCTGGACCGTAAGCCCTAAACCCTAAACCCAAACCCTAAACCCAAAACCCAAAACCCAAAAAACCCTAAACCCTAAACCCTAAACCCTAAACCCTAAACCCTAAACCCTAGACCCTAAACCCTAGACCCTAAACCCGGAACTCTAAGCCCAAAGCCCTTTTTAAATCGTTTCGACATAGCTGCAATGTTTTGTCTGGGGATCCCGGGTCTGCCTTTGCTGCAAGCTGAAGCGTTTCGGGGTTTAGGGCTTTGGGGTTTAGGGTTCAGGGATTTAGGGTTTAGGGTTTAGGGATTTAGGGATTTAGGGATTTAGGGATTTAGGGATTTAGGGATTTAGGGATTTAGGGATTTAGGGATTTAGGGATTTAGGGATTTAGGGATTTAGGGATTTAGGGATTTCGGGATTCAGGGATTTAGGGACTTAGGGATTTAGGGATTTAGGGCTTAGGGGTCATGTAGGGATTCAGAGCAGAAAGGGTCTTCGGTTAAGTCGTTTCTTATCTCGAAGCTTTATAGGCCGGAATCTTCAGTACTCCGAAGGCCCTCTAAGCCCTAGGCCCCCTGAAGGCTCCGACTAGACCCCTTTAGGGTTCAGGGTTTAGGGTTTAGGGTTTAGGGTTTAGGGCCCTGCCTAACCCCAATACACCCAAACCTAATAACCCTTAACACCAAACCCGAATACTAAACAAGCCCAATTCTTCTGAAGCCCCAAAAGCCCTAGGCATTTCCAATTAAAGTTCTGAGGAAATCGGGGTTTTCCTCATAAAGTCTAGGGGCAATAGAGGTTTAGAACAGCTGGTCGACAACCTTAGTCAACCTTTCCTGGTGAAGTTCAACATGGATTTGAGGGACTTGGAGATCGCTCCCCAGGAGCTTTCTTTCGAACCGCCGCTGAAAACAGGAGATGGGCGCAACCACCCCGAGGCACCCTGTCTCCTTAGCCCTAAACCCTAAACCCTATACCCTAAACCCTAGACCCTAAACTCTATGAACCCTAAACCCTAAACCCTAAACCCTATGAACCCTCCGGACCCCCTCAAGGCTACATGGCGCGCTACGAGACGGCGCACCTGGCTGCGTGCGCCGGCCGTGCGCCGGAGGCCTTTCCCCCAGCTTGCGGGAAATGTCGGGGCTTTCGGGTTTAGGGTTTAGGGTTTAGGGTTGAGGGGTTTAGAGTTTACGGTTTAGGGTTTAGGGTTTAGGGTTGAGGGTTTAGGGGTTTAGAGTTTACGGTTTAGGGTTCAGGCCCTAGGATATCAGAACGGGGTTGATGTTTGGGGTTCAGGGTGAACGGAGCCGTGGGTGCGCCCCACGCACCGGACCTGTGAATCTGCACAGTTTTGCATTGGGATGTTCCCCCCCTGATACTAGCAGTCCTTAGTCGGGATTGCAGTACACCCCTGTTGCAATCCCTGTTAGGGACTGTTAGTAGAAGGCGGAACATCCCAAGTTATGCAGAAGACCAGTGCATGAGACGTCAACGTGGTACCTGTCGTTTCAGCAGACAAAACCTTGCACACCTCTGGGTTGATTCAAGCCAAAGCCAACAATACCCTGCCCCAAAAAACCTAGAAGTATCCTCATTGCAGTGGTAGTCCCCTCCACCCCCTTAACCAGCCTACTGCATGATACGACTATGTGATTCAACAACTCAGGTGGGGTTCAAATTCAGTCTACACCCTAAACCCTAAATCCTTAACCCTTCAACCCTTAAACGCTACACCCTAAACCCTAAACCCTAAACCCTAAACCCTAAACCCTAAACCCTAAACCCTAAACCCTAAACCCTAAACCCTAAACCCTAAACCCTAAACCCTAAACCCTACACCCTAAACCCTAAATCCTAAACCCAAAACTCACTTCAACTTGCATCTTGGCAGGCTTTGGGGCAAGGCGCTCTCCTGGCCCTTCTGCAGCTGGTCGACGAAAGGTTTTGGGGCGGGCCCTGCACCACCGGGGCTGGTTTGCCTTTCTTTGGATTTAGGGTTTAGGGTTTAGGGTTTAGGGTTTAGGGTTTAGGGTTTAGGGCTTAGGGTTTAGGGTGTAGGGTTTAGGGCTCTCCCCTTACCGGGCTTGTTTGCCTTTCTTTTGGAGGAGGGGTAGGGGGGGGGGGGCGTTAGCTCTTGAGGGGCCGGGGGGCAGAAAGCCCGAAGCCATAAACCCTAAAGCCTCAACCCTTAACTCAAAACCTTGGTGTTGGGTGCAGGGTTTCGGGTGTCTCGGAATTGGGGAAACATTGAACTCGCATGTCCAAACCCCCACACCTAAACCTCAGTAAGCTCCCAAACCCCTAAACCCCTAATGGGAGCTGCCTGAGGTTCTCTCAACCCCCAAAGCCCAAATCCCCCAACCCTCCAACCCCGAAATGCGTTAGCCCAGGCGTGCGGCGGACGAAGAGCACGTGACCGGCTACGCGGTGCTGCTGGCCGAGTACTTGAAGGTGTCAAGCCAAGCTGAGGGTTTAGGGTTGAGGGTTTAGGGTTTAGGGTTGAGGGTTTAGGGTTGAGGGTCTAGGGTTTGGGGTTGAGGGTTGAGGGTCTAGGGCTTTTGGGGTTGAGGCTTTGGGGCTTAAGGTTTGGGGTTTTAAACCCAGAACCCTAAACCCCAAACCCCAAACCACTCTTACACATGCACTATAAACGTCAATGAATGACTTTGCGGGCAAGGTCACTACAAGGTCAAAAAACTTGTGGGCAAGGTCATCACAAGGTCACTACAAAGGTCCCATGACCTTGTCATGACCTTGCTATGACCTGGCACCTTGTGGTGACCTTGCGCGCTCTTTTTCTGACCTGGTGCCCACAATGTCGCCACAAAACCCTCAAGGACCCTAAACCCCAAATCCCAGAACCCCAAACCCCAAACCCCAAACCCCAAACCCCAAACTGTAAACCCCAAACCCCAAACCCCAAACCCCAAGCCCTAAACCCTAAACCCTAAACCCCAAACCGATCCGATAAGTGAAGGACAGCTGCGGCCCCAAACTTGGCTGCGGACAGCGGACCACTCTCTGGGGCCTCCAGCGCCTTGGCTTCTGGGGGCACCAGGGCTGCTGGGGTTTGGGGTTTAGGGTTTGGGGTTTAGGGTTTAGGGTTTAGGGTTTGTAGGGTTTGGGGTTTAGGGTGTAGGGGGGCAGGGTTTAGTGTTTAGGAGTAGTGGTTCAGGGTTCAGGCCGTAGGGTTTCAGGGTTTAGGGTTTAGGGTTTAGGAGTTTATGGGGTTAGTGGTTCAGGGTTTGGGGGTTTGGGCGGGAAGGGGGTTTGAGGTTCAGGGTTCGTGGGGATTCTATGCGATTGTTTGGTTGTTTAGGGGTTTCGTGGCTCAGGGTCTGGGGCTTTCAAGTTTTTTGGGGGTTTCGGGTATAGGTTTGGGGGAGATTCTAAAGAGCTTCGCGTCATGCGATTTTCCGAAAGTTCAATCTGCCGAGACCACCCGATATCGTCCGACGAACCACCTAAATGCTGTGAGAAAACCCTCAGAACTCTAAGCCCTAAACCCTAAACCCTAAATGCTTAGCCCTCAACCCGAAATGCTTAGCCCTAAACCGTAAATGCTTAGCCCTAAACCCTAAACCCGCACGCCTCGAAGGCGGCCGCCGCTGTCTCCAGTCTCGACAATCTTGCGCCTCGCGGCCACGGACCGTCCCGAGTGAAATCCAAAGCAGACCTGAGACCCGCAAAAACCCCTGGCCTAAAAATAGAACTAATCCCCAAGAGCTAAACCCGTGATCCCGTTCTGAACCCTGCTTTAGGGGCGGGCTATTGTAGTAGACATATACAGGGACAGGGACCATAAGGGAATACTATTAGGAATTCCTCCGGCCCCTATATTGACTGCCCCTGAAGCCCTACACCCGAGACCCTAAATCCTAAACCCTAAACCCGAAACCCGAAACCCGAAACCCGAAACCCTAAACCCAAACCCTAAACCCTAAAGGACCGCCTTGCTGCTTTCGCCCTGCACTTGCTTCCTTTCGTGCTCACCAATGCGAAGGCCTGTATGTTAGGGTTTAGGGTTTGGGGTTTCGGGTTAAAAAACCCCAGACCCTAGAAACTCCAAACCCCAAACACCAAGCCCCAAGCCCCAAGCCCTAAACCCAAAACCCTGAACCCTAAACCCTAAACCCTAAATCCTAAACCCTAAACCCTAAACACTAAGCCGGTTGAGATTAGTGAGTGTTTCCATGGCTTAGGGGAGGCTGGAGGCTTCAGGTTTCAGGGTGGGGGGGGGTGACAGCTCAGGGTTTCGGGGTTTCAGGGTTTAGGGTTTAGGGTTGGGGGTGAAAAGGTTTTTTGGGCTTAGGGTTCGGGGTTTGGAGAGGTGCAGGGTTTAACTTCAGTTCAAAGCTCCTTGACAAGTGGATAGTCGCCTAGACCAGCCCCACAGTTGCGTTGCGTGGGTTGCACAGGCCCTAAGTCCTGCAAACCCTCATGCCCCTAAGCCTCTGTCCCTAAACCCTAAACCCTAAACCCTAAACCCTAAACCCTAAACCCTAAACCCTAAACCCTAAACCCTAAACCCTAAACCCTAAACCCCAAACCCTAAACCCTAAACCCTAGACCCTAAACCCTAAACCCCCAACCCCTCAACCCTCAACCCTCAACCCCTAAACCCTACGCCCTGGAAGGAAGGCCTCGTCGTCTCCGTGGCCCAGGATGCGCCAGCCAGACACCTCGAAGCTGCGAGGCGTGGGTTCAGGGGTTTTGGGGGCTGTCAGGGTTTAGGGTTTAGGGTTTAGGGTTTAGGGTTTAGGGTTTAGGGTTTAGGGTTTAGGGCTAGGGTTTAGCGTTGCAAGGGGACTTTTTGCCCCAAGCCCAAAGCCCAAAACTAACAGCGAGCTCCGTTAGGTGCCCCTGGAAGGTGCCGGCGCATGGCTCCTCGCGTGCTGGAACTGCTAAAGCGTTGTGCGTCGCAACCTAAACGTTGGGACGTAGGATGTAGGGTTTATTAGCGTCAAAAAGCCCTTTTAGGGTTTAGGATAGTTTAAACGTTAAACAAACCTAAGTGTAGGGTTTAGGGTTGTTTCCTGCTAAAAAAAGCCCTAAACGCAGGGTTTAGGATTTCGGGTTTCGCCTCCAGCAGCCTTGGGAAGCCTGCACAGGCCTGGAAGCTTCCGAAGAGTAATGTTGGTCCATGCGCTCTCGCGACCTTTTCGCGACCTTTTCGCTGCTCCAGAAAGGGTCGAGAATGGTGTTCCCTTTTGGCTAAAGCTGTGACCCCCTTAAGCGTCTTTGAAGGGTGGAAGCCTCCAGAAATCTTGGGCAAGCTTCCCAAGAGCCTTGGCAGTCTGCAAGAGCTTCCAAAGCCGATTTCGGTGAAAAGCCCTCCCCCCTCCTTTCACGGCCCAGGGGGTCGTGTTGTTCAATTTGCAAGACGGAAAATAGCATTCGGCCAAAATTCTGGACTCTATCCTTGAAAGCCTTCAACAAAGCCTTGCTTTAGGGTTCACAGGGAGGCCTCGTGGGGGGAGGGCACCCCAGGCTTCGGCAAAAAGTGGCCAAAAACCCCTCGGATCGAGCTATTTGTACTTTGGGATTCGGCTTCATAGCTTGTCGGGGATCACACCCTAAGCCCTAAATCCTAAATGCCCTGAGTGGGCCTCCCCTGGAGTCTTCTGGTTGCAGGTCGGTGTGCGACGGCCTCGGGGTGCAGCCGCCTCGGTACTCGGGGTTCAGCTGAAGTGGTTTAGGGGTTGGAGGGTAGAGCATAAACCTTCAAACCCGTAAACCCTAAAACCCCCTAACCCTAAGTGCCTAGACCTTCAAAACCCTAAACCCTAAACCCTAAACCCTAAACCCTAAACCCTAAACCCTAAACCCTAAACCCTAAACCCTAAACCCTAAACCCTAAACCCTAAACCCTAAACCCTAAACCCTAAACCCTAAACCCTAAACCCCAAACTCACTCACCCCGCTCATCCTCTGTTGCAGCGGGTTTAGGGCTTAGGGTTTTCGGGGTCCAGGGGAGCAGTGCTTAGGCTCTCGGGCCGGGGTTTGAGTCTGAGGGGTTAGGGTGCAGGGGCATTCGGCCACTTGCGCCTCAATGCCCGCGAGCGAAGAGGTTCGGAACTCAGTGACCCTGACCCTAACCCTAAACCCTGAACCCTAAGCCCTGAACCCTAAACCCTAAACCCTAAACCCTAAACCCTAAACCCTAAGCCCCTAAACCCTACACCCGAAGCAGCTCCTCCAGCGTCTTCGAGAGATTTCCACGAGCTGAGGCCTTGTCACGTCGAAGATGCCGCAGCGTTTGACAACCGCCGTTGGGGCCTTTGTGGCCCTTCGGGCTTTGCGGCTTCGGGCTTAAGGGTTTAGGAGTTTAGGGTTTAGGGTTTAGGGTTTAGGGCTTAGGGCTTTTAGGAGTTTAGGGTTTAGGGTTTAGGGTTTAGGGCTTAGGGCTTAGGGACGTATCCGCCTGAGTTTGCGGAGTCTTTGGTTTGTAGTTTAGGAACAGTGGTGCAGCAAAAGCAAGGCCAAAGCCAAAAGCAGCGTACTAGATTGTCATGATAAGAAGAAGAACTGGAGAGGTTACAGTATTCACTTTTTCCTTTTTGGTTGGTCGAGGGTTCCTCCCAAACCTAAAGCCCCAAAGCCCCTCAACCCCTTAACTCGGGCTCTGGTTGCCCAGGTTTCGGCCCCAAACCCCAAAGGCCGAAGCTCTTACTGCCTACAACTAAAGCCTAAGCCCAACTCCTCAGAAAACAGCTCATAAAGCGACCCTTGAGTCGTCATGCAACCCCCCGCGCAAAAAGAACCCTCATGTCCCTCCCGAAGCTGGCATCACAGAAGCGGCGCACATTATCGGCTGAGATCCCGTGGGTTGGAGGGTTTTGGGGGTGTTAGGGTTTTGGATGTAGGGTTTAGACGTTTGGGGGTGTTAGGGTTTTACCCTGAACCCCAAAAGCCCTGAACCCTAAACCCTAAACCCTAAACCCTAAACCCTAAACCCTAAACCCTAAACCCTAAACCCTAAACCCTAAACCCCTGAACTCTGGTGCCTCCAGTCTTGTCAAGGCCTCAAAGACCAACCGTGGAACACCATCGAGCTGCAGGCAGCTCCATGCCAAGCAGAGGCCGATGCTTCCTAAACCCTAAACCCTAAACCCCAAACCCCAAACCCCAAACCCCAAACCCTAAACCCTAAACCCTAAACTGGCGGACTCTTCTGGGCGAGACCTCAAGCCCATCGAGTCTCCACCCAACAGTGCCTGAGCCCCACCACGCCACCCCAAGCGACCTAAAAACGGTTTAGGGTTTAGGGTTTAGGGTTTAGGGTTTAGGGTTTACCACAACTCGAAAGACGATAAACCCTCGATCCCTAAAACCCCAAAGGGCCTCTAAGCCCTAAAAGGAGAGGCTGGGGCTGAGGACCAGGAAGATTCTTAGAGTCATGCTAGGGTTTAGGGTTCCAGGGGTTCGGGTTTCGGTTGAAGTTTCTCCCAATCGTCTGACCCTCCAAAGCACTTTAAGGCTGAAGCCCTGCGCCCTACATCCCTAAAAAGAAAAAATCACTAATGCCTCGAACCTCTCAAACTGCCAGACATGCCCTCACGCCCTACAACCCTAAACCCTCAACCCATTACCCTCCAAGCCATACGCGCCTGGGAGGATCTTCCCATGGTCGACCACTTTGTTCTGAGGCGCAAGGGGCGTCTGAGTGCTCTGAGAATAAGAAGAAGCAATCATACTCTTCATTCCTTTTGTTCGTTGTTCTGCTCTTCTTTGCTCTCTGCTGCTTGATGTTTATTCTTGGTTCTTGTTCGTTCCCTTTCTGGTCACCGTAGAAAGAAGGGTTCTTACCATCACTCTTCGTGTTTCTTGCTTTCAGCGTTCACACCAACGCGTGACTGCAGCGCTCAGACACCTTGGAAGCCTGAAACCCTATGGGGGTTTTCGAAAACCGGAGTAGCCTTTTTGGGGGAACCCTAAACCCTAAACCCTAAACCCTAAACCCTAAACCCTAAACCCTAAACCCTAAACCCTAAACCCTAAACCCTAAACCCTAAACCCTAAACCCTAAACCCTAAACCCTAAACCCTAAACCCTAAACCCAAAACCCCAAACCCTAAACCCAAAACCCTAAACCCTAAACCCTAAACCCTAAACCCTAGACCCTAGACCCTAGACCCTAAACCCTAAACCCTAAACCCTAAACCCTAAACCCTAAACCCTAACCCTGAACCCTAAACCCTAAACCCTAAACCCTAAACCCTAACCCCTAGCCCCTAAACCCTAAACCCTAAATTCAATTCTATTTGGGGTATTTGGGCCCTGCAGGCTGCTGCCCATGGGCCACATCAAGTCCACCACAGAGAAGGATGAGGACTGCCCAGCCCTCAAAGACCGGCTCCCGTTGAGCTTTCTGCTTCGTTATTTGTTCGTTCATTTCTTTTTTGAGAGGGGGGGGCCAAAAGGCGAAACCCTAAACTTAAATCCTAAACCCTACTTAAGCCCTAAACCCTAAACCTAGTACTAGCCCCTAGTACCCCCCAGTACTCCCAGAGGATCCAGAATATCGCTCCCCCTATCGTGCTTTCGTAATCTTACATGGAAAGGTTCCTCCGCTTCCCCCCTTTTAGAACCCCGCAGTTGGGGTTTGGAGTTCTGGGTTCAGGGTTGGGATGTTCCCCCTTCTACTAACAGTCCTTGATCGTATCATTTAATGTGGGCACTACAATCCCTATAAAGGACTGTTAGTGTAAGGGGGAACATCCCAAGTTTCGGGTTTTGCGTTTAGGGTTGCCTGCAGGACTTTGTGAACATCTTCAAGAAGTCGCCGAAGTGGCTCCGCTTCGCCCAGTGAGTCCGCGCGAGCCCGTGCGAGCCCTTTTGTTGGCGGGGTTTCGGGTTGAAGAAGGGCCTAAACCCTAAACCCTAAACCCTAAACCCTAAGCCCCAAACCCTAAACCCTAAACCCTAAACCCTAAACCCCAAACCCCAAACCCGCAACCCTCGCCTCGCGTTTTTGAGAAGGCGCCTGCCAAGGAGCAACAGCAGCCAAAGCCCGCCCGGAGCACATCTCCTCGGTGCGGCTTTCGCGAATTCGCCCGCTCCTCCACCTGACACCCCGCTTGTGGGGGTTGTTTCGCTTCTCAAGACGCGATCCCCGAAACAAAACCCCTAAAACCCCTCAAACGCTGCAACCCGAAGCCCTAAACCCCTAAACCCTAGAACCCTAGAGCCCTAGAACCCTAGAACCCTAGAACCCTAGAACCCTAGAACCCTAGAACCCTGGGGCCCTAGACCCTAGACCCTAAACCCTAAACCCTAAGCTCTCTAAAGCCCTAAACTTGGAACAACCCCTTCAGGGTGAGAGGCCCTGGGGTCCGGCGCGGATAAATCGTGCGGATGCGACTCGTTGCGTTTTAGCTTTGCTGGGTTTAGGGTTTAGGGTTTAGGGGTTTAGGGTTTAGGGGTTTAGGGTTTAGGGTTTAGGGTTTAAATTGTGTATGTAAGAGAGGGTTAGGGTTCAGGGTTTAGGCTCTAGGGCAAGTTTAGGGTTTAGGGCAGCTCAATCATCACTAGCTTTCGGGGTGCCGCGGTAGTGGGCTTGGGCTTGGATAGCCCTGTCCTCACATGTTAAGGCCCAAGTGTAGGGTTTAGGGTTTAGGGTTTAGGGTTTAGGGTTTAGGGTTTAGGGTTTAGGGTTTAGGGTTTAGGGTTTAGGGTTTAGGGTTTAGGGTTTTGCGACTTACGCGCTCTTCAGTCTTCATCGCATCAATCCGGCCTGGAAGGTGAGATCATGTGGGCAGCTTTGAAGATCCCGCGGTGCTTTAGACCACCGCGGTGCATGCATTGCAGCTGAGCGACCTCAGTGGTCGCGGAGGGTGTGAGGCGTCACCGGAGGGTTTAGGGTTTAGGGTTTGGGGTTTGGGGTTTAGGGTTTGGGGTTTGGGGTTGCAATCTCTGAAACAAAGGCCTCAGACCCTAAGCAGCAAGAGTGCTGTGTGTTGATCCAGCAGTGAAAAGCCTGCGCATGCGGCGCCTGTCCCAAACCATCGGCCCTATGCCCCTTGTACCCCAAACCCCCAAACCTACAAACAGGGTTTAGGGTTTACGGTTTAGGGTTTGGGGTTTAAGGTTTTGGGGTTAGGATCTGGGGTTTAGGGTTTTAGGTTTTGGGTTATATAACCTCAAAACCCTGAAGCCTCAACAAAGCTCTGAACCCCCAACCCCTAAACCGCCTCAACCTTCCAATCCTGAAACCCCAAGCTGTCGCTTCCCGCTGTTTGCATAAGAACCCCCCCCAAAAAAGGAAAATATTCTTCCTCATTTTATGGCTAATATAGGGGTTCTTATCTTTGATATGTTAGTGGGGGCTTTTAAACAAATAGTAGTTCCATGAGTAGCAAGTACGAGGCATCTACCAGGGGAGCCTTGAACCTGGCCGTCAGCAATCCTGGACTTGTTAGCAGGGAATGAAGGAATGGGGTACACTATAGAATCCCTTAAAGGGTATAAAAAGGGTTTTTGGGGTTTATCGGGCTTGGGGTTCGGGGTGAGAGCAATGGAAAGCTGACAGCAATGCCTTCACCTTCTATCCTCTACTTCCTACTTCCCATCCCTAGACCGAAAACTCAAAAACCTTAATTCCTAAACCCTAAGCCCTAAGCCTTAAACCCTAAACCCTAAACCCTAAACCTAATGCTCCTTCAAGCTCCCTGAAGCGCTTTCACGCCAGGCAGCCACAGAGGAGGCGTCGCCCAAGAAAAGGAGAATCGAGGCCGCGGGTTCAGGGTCCCAAAACCAAAGGTTTAGGGTTTAGGGTATAGGGTTTCGGGTTTAGGGTTTAGGGTTTAGGCCTTGAGGTTTAGGATTTAAGGTTTGGGATGTTCCCCCTTAAACTAACCGTCCCTACTGGGGAGCATAGTACCCCCGATTATCATCACCATTAAAAACTGCTAGTGTACGGGGGAATATCCCAATTCAAGGATTCGGGTTTTCCTCACTGGCTTGAAGGAGACCTGAGTAAGTCTAGAGTGTAGGGTTTAGCCAGAAGCCAGAAATTCCTGGGAAAGTGTTGGGGCCTTCACTGTCGGTTGATCCTTCATGCGGGGGTATCCACATTGGGGTGGTTTTTTTGGGAGACCCATTGTATAAGGAGCCCGATAGCGTCCAGTGTAGGGCTTCAGGTGTTCGCGGCTGCAGCCCCAAGCGCCTGCGTCTTCAGTGTTACGGCAGGGGAAGGACCTAATATGTCTTAACGGAAGCAGAAGAGCGAATGAGCCTTCCCAAATTTCATGGTGGTGTTTGAGAGTCTCTGTCTGGAGTCGCAAGGGTTTCGGGATGGCGTAGAAAGAAGTCCAGGGTCTAGGTGTTCAGGGCACCAGGCTTCTGAGCCCTCACCCCCTAAACCCTAAACCCTTAAACCCTAAACCCTAAACCCTAAACCCTAAACCCTAAACCCTAAACTCCCCTTCGAGCAGGCCACGAGCAGCTCTCCGCTCGAGGCTGTTGCACGGCTCTTCGGGCGAGGAGCTCAGCGTGTGAGATTAGGGATCAAGGCTTTAAGAGACCTAGGAGTTTAGGGTTTAGCGTTTTGGGGTATAGGGTTAGGGTTTCGGGGTTTGGGGTTTAGGGTTTGGGGTTTGGGGTTTTGGGTAAAGGGCTTAGGTTTAGAGGATTAGGGGTTTGATTGCGACGGCCTTGAAAAGCATGTGCTCTGGGGAGTCGTGTTTATTGTAAGTCTTGGTAGCAACGGCTGCGTTACGTCTGTTTGTCTACTTGGAGGTCCGGTTATTTGTGCCATAAACCTCCAAGTAGAAGACAGCTTCTTACCTAGACCCTAAACCCTAAACTTTAAACCCTAAACCCTAAACCCTAAACCCTAAACCCTAAACCCTAAACCCTAAACCCTTTTCCGACAAAGATCACGAACGGACGCCCTTGCGTGGACACAGCGCTTGGTACTTGCACTGACCGTCGGACCGGCCCAAACAAAGGGTTTAGGGTTTAGGTTTAGGGTTTAGGGTTTCACCCTACACCCTACGCCCTAAGCCCTAAGCCCTAAACCCTAAACCCTAAACCTTAAACCCTAAACCCTAAACCCTAAACCCTAAACCCTTGGACTTTGCATGCTCTGAGGTCCCAGGACTACCGCACCCTGGTGCAGGAGGCCTGCCGGTGCTCTTTCGCAAAGCACGTGGGAAGGAGTTTCGTGTTTTAGGGTTTAGGGTTTAGGGGGTTTAGGGTGTTTAGGGCTTAGGGTTTAGGGGTTAGGGTTTAGGGGGACATGGGGTAGACATGCGGTGGGTTGCTTGGGGAGACCAGCAATAGAAACCCTACTTCAGGTCCTGCTCTTGAATCCTATAGAGTTGGGGGTGTTGCCTTCAACCCCTAAACCCTAACCTTAAACCCTAAACCCTAAACCCTGAACCCTGAACCCTGAACCCTAAACCCTAAACCCTAAACCCTGAACCCCCTAACCCGATAGGATTCAGTGATGCAGGAAGGGTTCTGGGCTCAGAGCCTCCGCGAAGGTCGTCAACAGTCCTCTTCTGTCTAGGGTTTAGGGTTTAGGGTTTCGGGTTTAGGGTTTAGGGTTTAGGATTTAGGGTTTACGGTTTAGGGTTTAGGGTTTAGGGCTTAGGGTGTTGGGTTTAGGTTGAGGGTTAAGGGTTGAGGGTTGAGGGTTGAGCGTGGGAGGTTTTAGAAGTTTAGGGTTTCAGAGCGAAGATTTAGAGCTTCGGGGTTTGGGGTTTCGAGCTTTGGGGAGTTTAGGGTTGAGAGCTTTGGGGGGTCAGGTTTCTTAGAGTCTAGCCCTAGACCCTAAGCCCGAAATTTAAGAGCCTCCGGCTCAAGCCGCCGACCCCGCTGGAGTATAGTTGAGAGGTCATCCCAGCCTGTTCGGCAGAGTTCTGGAAACGTTTGGGGGGGGTAGGGGGTAGCACACACAAGCTCAAGCCAAAAAGACAGATGGGTGGGGTGGGGGGCGGAGGGGGGGTGGGGTGGGGGGGGGGGGGGGTGGGGGGGGGGGGGTGGTGCGGGTGACGCGGGTCCTCCACGAAAAAATTGTGCACCGACCCCCCCTACCCCCCCCCCCCCCCCCCCGCGCGTTTTGGGGGGGGGGTAAGGAGGGAAAGAGGGAGGTTTTCACCTCCTCAAACCCATCCAACACGCCGCCAGGGTCGGCGACCCTAAACCCTAAGCCCTAAGCCCTAAGCTCTAAACCCTAAACCCTAAACCTTAAACCCTAAACCCTAAACCCTAAACCCGAAGCCCTAAACCCTAAACCCGAAACCCGAAACCCTAAACCCTAAACCCTAAACAACTGAAGCCCATACCCCCTTGTGCCTTCAGATCACGGGCTGCGGCGACCTCTCCGAGCGGGTGGATCTGGCCACTCAGGCGGGCTCTAAACCCTAAACCCTAAACCCTAAACCCTAAACCCTAAACTCTAAACCCTAAACCCTAAACCCTAAACCCTAAACCCTAAACCCTAAACCCTAAACCCTAAACCCTAAACCCTAAACCCCCGAAACCCGAAACCCTAAACCCCAAACCCTAAACCCTAAACCCGAAACCCGAAACCCTAAGCCAGGAGCTTCGCCCTAAACCTTAAATCTTAAACTCGCTAAACCCTACACGCTAAACCCTAAACCCTTTCGCATGTGTTTCAAGAATGAGGATGCCTTTGTTGGGTGTTTCTGTATTCAGGATAAGCGTGTTGGAGTTTTTTTTTTTTTTTTTTTGGGGGGGGGGGGGGAAATATCGGGTGTACCTCTATTGTGGAAAATATGACTGTGAAGTAGCATGTTCATTCTGGGCTCAACGCATGTTCCCGCGCCGCCCTCAGAAGTAGGG